TCTCTCTCTCTCTCTCTCTCTCTCTCTTCTTTTTTTTTTTTTTTGTGGGATAACTTCATAAACTTCAATCTAGTCTCTAGACTTCCAGTACATATTACTATAAGATCAGCATACAAAGAACCATACCCCCACATGTGTTTAACATATTTCTTCGCAGTTAACCTCAACTCTAGGACATAATCAAAATTTCCCAGGTCCGAGGTATGACAAAGAGTTGAATTGATACCTTATTCAACAAATAACACACAATCCCGGCGGCAGTCTCATTATTTAAGCAAACATACAAAAAGAATTATATCCACCAAATTACACACAATACATGGTGGCAGTCACATTATTTAAATAAACATACGAAAAGAATTATATCAAGACACAGTGTGTAGATGCTCAATAACCAAGAGAATAAAAGCATGCAAATCAAAAAATTCAAATCCTACACATTCAACGAAAGGAAATATGTGAACTGTGAAAATCGGGCACAGTAAGATCTTTGAGGAAGATACATAATGCTTCAAGTAGAATCTATCGCTTAAAACACAGCCAGATAAGACCAATATCAACATTGTTCATCAACAGTGCTCCCAAGTGTCTGGAAGTGTATTGATCTCAAAATACAAGAACCATCACCTGTAGAGACATATTCAGGAGCAGCATAACCAAAGGTGCCCATCACCCTAGTTGATACATGTGTGTGATCCCCAGTTGGACCATCTTTAGCTAAGCCAAAATCAGAAAGCTTTGCATTATAGTTCTGTGCAGACAATGGAATTTAACCATTAGCCAATGGAGATAAAATTTCTACTCAATTTAAGTATATGCCAAGCAAATGGGACCCATACCAGTTATCAAAAAAATAAACAATTTAAGAGCTCTGAATCAAAGAGTAGCAAAACACGCACCGAATCAAGCAGAATGTTAGATGTCTTGAAATCACGTAATATCACAGGACTGGATGCATTATGTAAAAATGCAAGTCCCTTTGCAGCTCCAAGCGCTACTTTTACTCTTATAGACCATGTAAGTGGCTGGTGGGTGCTACCTCCTGCAAAGGAAAACCTGTTTAGACACTGGCAATCAATTCTGACAATGTAATGGAAAATAAAGAGCAAACTAATCTCTGCAAGTAAGCTTTAATTGCACGAAAGTCCTAGCCCAGAATAAACATATTTTGCTGTCTTATGAAAAATGAAACAAGCTGAATATTGTTTTTATCCAAATATAGGAATAGTGCCCATAGAAACCAGTATCAAACACAAAGCTTCCCAAAAAGATCATGTAACCCAATATTCACAAGGGCCCATTCAAAAATATGTCAATCGATATTTGAACCATGAAGCTTTGGACACATTCACAATCAGTTGTTGAGCATGTGATGGCCAAGAACCCTGAAACTAAAAGAAGTCCGGACCGCAGTGGGTGTAGTAAATGTGTTTATGCCTATGCGTAAAACAAAGAGTGTGATACTAAAAAGAAAAATATAAAATATAAGAAAAAACTTTGACAGATTAAATTACAAGGCCCAGCAGGCAAAGGGATTCTCAGTTTACATTCCAGATCCTGGTGAGAGTACAAGCTTGGTGCAAGGAGAATTTCTGTTGGGGTACGGCCCACAACCCTTAATGAAAATCTCAATGTCTTCATTTGTCAGTTGGCTGAAGAGAAGAGACAGAGCTAAAACAGAATCCTAATTGTCTAACAACTATGCCTAGAATCCAACTCAATAGGCACATAATGGACAGGTCCTGCTAAAAGTTCCAACAACTATAAGGATGTCATGTATTAGGGGCACTTCTCATTTGCGTGCCAACACATACAAGTATTGCCTCAGCGATACATTTATCCCATCCCCAAATACAATGTCTCTGCAAGCGTATGCCTAGAATCCACTTTAATAAGTACAGTATGAGATGGATATTGGTATTTATTTCTGATTTAGTTCTTGTCCTGTAGAAAGTTTCAACATATATAAGGTTGTCCTATGTTAGTGGCATTTCTCACTCACATGTCAACATATACAAATATTTTCAACGAGAAAGTTTGCAATTTGAAGTTCACACAGAGCAAGAGGCTGCAGTTTCATATTTAATAAATGAGCACTTTGATCATAAATTTTGCGGATTAAAATTCTAAAATTCTCCTAAGAACCCTGTCCCTTCGAGATACAAGGACAAAGGAGCACATAGATAAAGGCCTATCTATATCAAGGGTATTTCGGTTATGTTCTCATGCATGCCTTCAATATTTTCCAAGTTTGTTTTGGACGACTGATCACCATTTTCCAAATTTTAAGGCCATTTCCACCACAGTAACATGAGAGACTAGAAGGTGCTATTAACTAAGACACCCAATATTAGCCAAAACCTTTGAGCTGTTGGAACAATAGCAGCAAAGGAACCTCGGGACTTTTCAAAAGTTAATGGTTTTCAAGAAGGAATCAAGAAAGGTTTACATTGTTGGGAAAAGCAAAACCTATATGCTAGAAAATACATCAATAAGGTATAGGTCATCCATTCTCGAGCTCAATGGTGAAGATGAACCATAGCAATGGCAGTTGACCTTTCATGTCCTCATAGAACTCCAAAAAGCACGTGGATGCACTTTCTGTTTATAGAATACATGTGATGAGTAAGCTGTACTTTTCCTATTTTATTGGACTGAGTGACTCAAGTTGGACTGTTAAGCCCATAGTTTCTTGTCAATGGCATCAACTGGGACTAATCATAGTACATACTACGTAACATAAAGGTCTGACGATCCACCAAAGATATTCTCTTCGACCCTGTCAGCTGGACCATAAAAGGCAAGGGAATTGGATATCACATTACATTGTTTCTTTAATTATAGGGATGGAAGAATGATTCCCATCAACAAAGTGGATACTGTATTACATTTTCTTTGAACCATCATTGACAGATGTTGCACATGACACGAACAATTCGAGTAAAGGTCCGGCGCTAATATAAGTTGCTTACACTCCTAGTAGCGAAGGAAAAGGGCTAGGTTTTTTTCGTAGCGTAGTAATAGTGGCATTCCCCTTCGCCCCAACACCAACATCGTCGATGAAAGCAAGTCTGGAAGACCAGAAATGAAACTCCAGTGGTCCCCAGCTGGATGATCACTCCAATGGGTGATTCCCATCCAACTCCGAGTTCAGATAACTTTTGAACCATGTAATGTTGCAGGACAAATATATACTATTCATTAGTACACAGCTAATACAGAGCATATCATTACACTAGGAATCCAAAATAAAAATCTGAGACTTTTGAGTAACATGCAGGGTAAATAAGAGGAAGTGAAGTTTATCAATGTAAACATTTCTAACAAACAAACAAGAAAAAAAAGAAGAAAGGATTTGAAAGTGCACACAAAAAACATACGAGGATTTCAGTCATCTTTGGAAAAGTTACTGACAAAACATAAAGGCAACCGACACGATCATCTCATTAGTGCTTTATATAAATTGAAAGCAATAATAGACACATGTCAATACTTACGTCTAAAAAGGTGATTTTCAAGACTCCCCTTTGACATGTATTCATAGACCAAGAGCCGGTGATTGTCCTCGAAGCAGTATCCAAGCAGCCTCACCAGATTGGAATGCTGGAATTGACCTAGAAAGTTCACCTCAGCCTATTCAAATGGCAAGTAAAAGTTACACAAACTCCATGAAGTTGCTTTCTTCACTTGTATTCCTAGGAATGAATATCAGTTACCAAACAATCAATTGCATGGGGAGGAAACGATTCAGCCTACATAAACGTCTATTGTAGCCAACAAAGGCCACCGATCAAAAAAACAGAAAAGAACAGCCCACCCACATCACCAATAAGAAAACAGACAGAAAATCAAAACCAATTCAAGTACAAAGATGAAGAAGGGGTTGATTTAGATTCTTACCAGCCATTCCTTATGACCTTGCAAGCCCTCATTGTTCATCTTCTTAACCGCAACAACCATACCAGATCCACTCTTCGAGCCCATGAGCCCAGAATCATCGAGCCAGCCCTTAAATACACATCCAAATCCCCCTTCTCCCAGTACACTATCGGGGCGAAAGTTTCTTGTAGCACTTCTCAACTCATTGAAAGTGAAAACCCTTATATTGGCATAAGGGAGTATCTGACCTTCTGATGCATTTTCTGATGAAACACTGTCACTGGCAGAAGACATTGTTTGCGTAGAGGTAGACGAAGACTTAACATCTCTACTACTGGACTTTGGGACCTCTGTAAAGACAGATAAAATCACAGACTTGAAAGTCCTGATTGAATTGTGATGAGACGAGCAAATAGAAGAAAACAAATTACTTGTTCTTCATATTCAAGGTCCAATTTAGAGTTTTGAATTTCAATCTAACTACAAAATGTGATGGCTTAAACCCCAGAAATCCACATGCATGATTTATTAATGAAGAAAATTCGAAACCCGAGTTGTGGTGGGGTGTGAGTGATAATGTAGATGGATGGCTTCCCAAAATCAGACATTTGAACTTCAATATCTTCAAAACACTATACCGTCTCTGATCCAACAGCTACAGCACAGTTGAAGGGAGCCCTGATTTTACACTATGATTGTATATTAAGTGATTTATTTTTCTATTTGATCATCCAATGACCATTGACAAAGATAAGATAACAGAAGCATAATTTACAGTTCCCTGCCAGACAGAAATTAGAAAAAACAAATCCCATGAACATAATCTCAACCAGATCCCCAAAAAGACATAGATTAAGCAAAGTCTCATTAAGTGATAACACTCACTACACTTACAAAGAAGAAAGAAAAATCAAGCTAATAAAACCAGACACACACGCACACATGCATGGCACGAATGCAAGCATGGGCACACACACACACAGCATATATCACACAACATCAGAACAACAGGATGAAAATCCCCAAACAACAGTATGGAAACACATGGAACGTTTCAAATGCTTAATTGAAGATGAAATTCATAATAAGTAATTTACCTTAAGATCAAATTGCAATACACAGATCAAAGACAAAATGAAACTAAATTCGAAAAAAATTACATAAAGCAGCTTAAGTCAAAATTGAACGAAAAAAACCCACTGTAATTCAAATTACCTGAAGATGGAGCACTGAACTTTACCAGTACTTCTTCCTCCTTGACAGGTTTCTCCCAACAATTACCCATCGCAACTTTAGAAATTCTCCCTCATTAAGAGAGAAAGATATAGTAGAAACCTTCTAGAGATAGAAAGAGAGGGAGATTGCAGAAACCCTAGTTCAGTTTAAGGCTTAGTTAATATTGACTCAGAAGGGCATATTCAGACACAGATAGAAAGACACCAGCTTAGCTGGGCTTTACCCAAAATAGAAATCATCTTAATTCTTTCCAATTAGGGGAGAGAGAGAGAGAGCAAATACCGAACTCATCAGCAATCAGAGACGTAAATTCGTCATAGAGGTAAAGAAGAAAGTAATTAGCGTAGCAGAGAATCCAGGAACCCTAGCTCAGTCAGAGAGAGAGAGAGGCTGATGAGCTCTCTTCGACGCTAGAGAGAAACGAGGGTTAATCCACTGGTTCTTACACGGAGGTTAGAGAGAGAAAGGGCAGCAAGCAAATCAGTGACTCCGCTCTGAATGTCTAGAGAGAGAAAGGCGTTACGAAAATGTCGGATTTTCCTACGGTTGGTGACTCCGAGGCAGCCGTCGACTACGTCCACTCTCTCAAGAGAGAAACTCTAGAGAGAGAAAGAAATAAAAAATTACACAACATTCAGAAAAAAAAGAGAAGAACGTGAAAGCTACTCAGGAGAGAGATGAACCAGAATATAGTTTAGAGAGAGAATATGAGAAGCTCTACAGAGAGAAAGTGTGGAGAGAGATGAATAGAACATGAGAGAGAAAATGGGAACAAATTGCTGTGAATCCCCCTAAACATTTCCAGGAATAAGAGGATTCACAATGATCTCTTTTCTGACAATTTTCTGAATGACGTAAATCCCACGAAAATTTTATTATATAACAAGGTTGCCCCTGTTTGGTTTTCTTCGTCCAATCGTAATTAGTTTGTGGTCCCACGATTGAATTTAACCCAAAATATAATGTACCCACGGGATGAGAATGTCTATTTACTCCCTGGGTGAAATAAAATCATTCCTAAAATCAAATTTAGTACCCCAAATTTTTTTTGGGATGTAACCACTTCAACTCATATATTAACTTTTTTTTTTTAGTACCCCAAATTTTTTTTGTAGATGTAACCACTTCAACTCATATATTAACTTCAATAAAATAAAAATAAAAAATCTTAATTATATCTTCTATGCACTTGAAAAAAATAGATCTAAGTGTCAGAAAACTCAAATTTCAAAAGTTTTTCTCTTGAGAATAATCTTTTAGTAATTCTTATGTGGTTTCCAAAATTTTAGATTGAAAAAAATCTTCTAAGTAGGTATTTTGACTGATGGAGTAGATATAAACTATGCTCTAGATGGAGCAAAGTATACGAGCTCCCTAACTTAAATAGGTCCAATTTTTATTTGGTGTTGTAGCAAAGGTGGCAATTGTATAACGTTTACCAAGAGGTATAGAATTGACATGTCTCTTAAAACTTATCAAATATATTTTAAGATAGTATCTAATCTACACTATCTAAATAAGGAAAAACTTTATATAAGGATGCAGCCTTGTAATGTAGAACTACGGATGCACCTCAAAAATCCATCGGAAAAGGTAGTTTTAATGTTGAAATACCCATTAATTGATCATCTCGACATCCGGCATGTATGACTATGAAAAATAAAAAGATTTTAAGTCTCAGAAATAGTGCAATTTGCAACATATTATCTACACCGTCTATTTTCAAGATTTTCATATGTTTATAGATCTACATGATTTTAAGCATTTTTAAAATTTAAAATTTTATAATTAGATATAAAAATAGATTTTTAGATAATCCTAAGAACAATTTACATCAAAATTATATAACATGATAAATTTTGAAGGTGCACCTTACCTCTATAGCTACGAATGCATCCGCATATGCCAACTGCACCCTCTAAATAAAGGAAAAAGTTAATATAACGTTGCAACATTAAAATGTAGAACTACGGATGCACCTTAAAAATCCATCGAAAAATGTTATTTTAATGTTGAAAACCCATGTGATTGATCATCTCGACATCGAAATTTATGACTATGAAAAATAAAAATATTTTGAGTCTTAGAAATAGTGCATCTTACAACATATTATCTACACCATCCATTTTCAAGATTTTCATATGTTTATTGATCTACTTGATTTTAACCATTTTTGGAATTTAAAATTTTATAATTAGATATAAAAATAGATTTTGAAATAATCCTAAGAACATTTTACAGCAAAATTATATATTATGATAAAATTTGAAAGTGCACCTTAGTTGGATTGTTTAAGGTTGCAACCTTGTGGAAACTACACCCCAAAATAAAATCATCATCCAAGCCTTATCCCAATTAGATAAGATGACAAAGCCATCATATGCATTTTTACTACTTGTATTACATCTCTAACCCTTACCCTTTTAGAGCCTTCCTGTAACAATCCTAAAATTTCAAAAAAAAAAAAAAAAAAAAAAAAAAAAGGAAGAAAAGATGCTTTTAAATAGGTGATGGTCTGTTTGAGTATGATGGTCCTTGGGGACCATCACTATTTTCAAAAGTTTTTGCTTTTGCCTTTGACTTTGCTTTTGCTTTTGATGCCTGCCGCTCGCCACGTCCTTTAGCGGACGTGGTTTTCGTATGTTAAAAGCATACGCTTAACGCGATACTTCAGGTATGAGGTAGAGCGTAATAAAATATTATAATAATACGTTATAAGAATTTAAATAGGGGAGGTGAGCACTCCCACTCTAGAAAATTTTAAGATCTCTCTCTCTCTGGTCGAAACACCGTGAACTTCTCTCTCGAACCGAATTTTTTTATCGGAAGCTCCCTCTCAAATAATTGTGGATAAGTGACATCGTCTTTCTGAAAAATAGTCTATTTTTAATAAATAGTGATATTTCCGTCTAGGATCTTTATTTTATCAGTTTTGTGTGTAAGTGACCTCATTGTCTCGAAAAATAATCCATTCTTTTTAAAAATAAAATGAAATAATTATTTTTGCTTATTATCATGAATTTTAGGCGCGATAAATTTTATGCGCACGTGACCTCATTATCTTGAAAAATAATCTTTTGATAAAAATTGTGATATTTTATCTATGTTAGAAATTTTGAATGCTGTAAATTAGAAAATAAATTTATTTATTTTTCTTGTTTATTGTTAGAAATAAATGTGATATTTCTGCTTTTAGTAAAAAAATTGTGATATTTCCTTCTACTGTTTTGAATATTTAGACATTGAAAATTCATGTGCAAATGACTGCCTTATTATTTAAAAATTGACATTTTTGCAATTGATTATAATATTGTTGTAAAATGTTTATTTGTGAATTGATATCCCATAAATTGTGATAATTTCCGTATTCTTGAATTTCTGTAAGAG